TTCTTTTCTCGTTTGCTGTTTTGTTTTTTATTTTCAATTTCTTATGCGTTGACTTTTTCTTTGTCCTTTTTTGGTATTCATTTTCTGTTTTTTTTCTCTCTCTCTTGTTGTTATTAGAGATTTTGGGAACGCTTGTGTTTGTATATAACACCATCCAAACATCTTTTTCCCTCGGGGCAATATAGGCCTAAACTTTCCCCCTAAGATTTCGAACCAGACGCTATTACGTCATACAATGCATTCCGTTAACAAAATCCATCAAAATAACGAAGTCCACACAATACTTAATCTAATTGGACCAAAAAGGGAGATAAGAAATTGAGATAAAGAGGAAAAATATCGATACAACACCTAATCTAATTCGACCCAAAAATGATAATAAATTTAGATAAATAGAAGAAGAAAGAATCGACACACCTTACCTTATTATAGAAAAGGTCAACAAAGAATTAAAGAATACGAATAACAATAACAACAACAATAACAAAACATAAACAGAAAAAGTCCCAAGATTATCCAAACCCGCGCAAAAACTGACCTGGAATTACTCATTCGGAAGGTAATTGGCATCAATGCAGGCGTGGGAGTCTCCCCCTATTTAAGGCGAACGCGCTTGGTGAACCACATCAGTCTCAAGCACACCGCACCTGCATTCGTACGCTCTCGCTTGTCTCCTGAATCACCTGTTTACCAATCACCATGGCTGCTAAGGGTAAGCTGGAAGTTTCGGGTTTTTTAAGAAGTTATTAAGAAAAGCATTTGGGTATAAATTTCTTCAAATATTTTGCCATAATATGCTTCAGTATCTCCAGATTTTAAAAGAAAAGTTATTACGAAAAGCGTTCGGGTATAAATTTCTTCAAATAATTTACTTTAATATGCTTCAGTATCACCAGATTTTATAAGAAAAAATATTATCTCCAGATTTTGTAAGACAAGTTATTAAGAAAAGCGTTTGGGTATAAATTTCTTCAAATTATTTACTTTAATATGCCTCAGCATCTCCAGGTTTTGTAAGACAAGTTATTAAGAAAAGCGTTTGGATATATATTTTTTCTTGAGATATTCATTTTTGATATGTTTTCATATCTTCAGATTTGTTTAAAGCTTTATTTTGTATATTCGTTGATATTTGGTCTAATATTTACGAATTAATCTGAATAATTGGATAGGTAGCTGTGAAACCTTGTATTTTCTTAAATATAATTAATCTACATAAAACATAAGACAAATTTAATGAAAAAGAACTTTAAAATACTTAAGATAAATCTTCCAAGATTTACTGTAAAGTACCTCGTAATATCACAACTCGGTAAAAAAACAAAAACAAAGCAAAAATCTAATAAAAAGCCGAATTATTAAAAATTTCGCCAAAACATAACATTTCGCAATTATAAAATCTAGCATTACATTGTGAAGAAAAAAAGAAAAGATAAGAGAGAGAGAAAAAACAAAAACAAACAAATATACAATTAACAGAACGAGCACTTCGAAGTAGGTCGCGTCACTAATGAGTAACTGCCTCCTCCCCCCCCCTCTCCCTACCGGCTTGCCTCCCTCTTCCTAATTACACCTTTTAATTTAATTACCTTCGGGAACTGAAAGAAAACGGACTATCTCTCCTAAAAAAACTAGGACGATCTTCCGAATTTTATAATCTTTAGAAAATTCTGACTTTGATATGGGTTTATAAAATTTTGACTTTAAAATGGTTTATAGGAAAATTTTGATTTTAAAATGGGTTTATAGGGAAAATTCTGACTAATATGGGTTTATAAGAAAATCCCGACTTTGATATGGGTTTATAGGAAAAATTCTGACTTTAAAATGGGTTTATAAGGAAAATTTTGATTTTAAAATGGGTTTATAGGGAAAATTCTGACTTTGATATGGGTTTATAGGGAAAATCCCGACTTTAAAATGGGTTTATAGGAAAAATTCTGACTTTAAATGGGTTTATAGGATATGAGTCCACTTTTTCTCTGCCATTTTACCGTTTATTTTTAGCCGCTCAATACCCTACCACCTCCCCTTAATATAGAACGAATTATCTTTCCGTCAATGGCAATATTACGACCACCATCAAGTGATCAACTAATTCGACATTTCACCAACACGATGAAAAAAATATCCATTTAAATTCTCTCCTGCGAATATAGAACGAATTCGATCATTTCAACAGTAGCAATCTTACGGCCACTATCGTAAATCAATTTGATATTTCACCAACACGATGGAGTAAAAAAAATATCCACTCAAACGCCTTTTCGACATTTCACCAACACGATAACCCAATCCGATATTTCACCATAACCAATCCGATATTTCACCAACACAAACCAATCCGACATTTCACGGATTTTTCACCAACACAAACCAATCCGACATTTCACCAACACAAACCAATCCGACATTTCACCAACACAAACCAATCCGACATTTCACCGATATTTTCCGATATTTCACCAACACAAACCAATCCGATATTTCACCAACACGATAAACCAATCCGACATTTCATCCGACATTTCACCAACACAATCCAATCCGACGGACATTTCACGACATTTCACCAACACAAACCAATCCGACACCAACACCATCCAAAAACATCCACTCAACCGCCCACCCTTTCCCCCCTCCACCAGGTCTCCTCGTCTTCGCCGTCCTCGTCGCCGCCCTCGCCCTCTGCCACGCCAGCGAGACGCCCACGAAGAAGACCGACGGGCGCCTCTTCTCCTCCAACGACGACACCTCCGTCTCCATCGATAGCGCGGGTGTTATTGGGCTTGTTGTCCTCGCCATCATCATCGGCCTCATCGGAATGGCGCTCGGCGTGTTCTCCAACGGCAAGGCTGACCTCACTGGGTTCGGCGCTCCTACGTGAGTTATTATTATTTTATTTTTTATTTATTTTATTATTATTTTTTTTTTTGGGGGGGTTGTGTTTAACAAATAAAGAAATAAATAAAATATAATAAAAAATATATTTTATTTATTCTTTATTTTATTATTATTTTTGGGTGGTTGTGGTTTTTTTATTTTTGGGGGGGGTTGTGTTTTTTCTCACTTTTTGTGTTTGCTTGTTTTCTTTGATTAAAAAAAATCATTTTGTGTATTTTGTTTTTTACTTTTGGTTGTTTGCTTGTTTTCTTTGATTTTTTTTTTTTTGTGTGTTTTTTCTCCTTTTGTTTTTACTTGTTTTCTTTGGTATTTCTTTTCTCATCTTTCATTTTTTATGTTAAATTTCCTTATTCTATTCTGTTTTGTCTGTTTTTCTTCTCCTTTCCCTGTATTATTTTCTTCTTTATGTTTTCTTTTCCTTAATCGTCTTCTGCTTCTTCTTCTATGTCTACTACTTTTTTTGCTTCTGCTTTTTCTTCTTCTACTTCAAATGACCATATGTAAGCTCGATAGACACATACATGCATATACATCGACGTTCAAGCATAAAAAAGATTTATTCCTTGAAAATAGGTTACAAGTTTATGTATCTAATTACTTAATTGAAAATAGATAATTTTATTATTCAATTGATTCATAGATAGTAGGTTACAAATTTATGCATTTTAGCCTAACCTAACCTAACCTTCTGGAAATCATTCACAGTGGTTATGCCGCTTCCGCCCCTGCCTATGCCCCCGCCCCTACCTACGCCCACGAGGAGTCGGCCTACAACGTCCACCGCTCTATGGAAGACGCCCATACCAAGTACCAGTAAGATGGTATCGACGATGGAAGCGAGAAGGGACGATAGGCCTACAAAAAATTACATTTTGGTTTGATGTAATTTGGGGAAAAAAAGGTTTAGTCTCTTCTTGGGTTGATTTTGCTGGTGGATAATGATGATGGATTGAATGGTATTTCGTTGATGATTGAATGAAGTGACTTTTTTCTGACGTGAGTGTCTGACATGAGTTTTTGACGTGAGGTGACTTGAAGCTTTGGACTTGACTTACGAGTGACTTTTCTCAGGTTGACTAAAGAGCGACTCTTCTCAGGTGACTAAAGAGTGACTTCTCATGTGACTTAGGGGTGACTCTACCTTGGTGACTAAATAGCTAACTCTACTTAGACTGTACTCAGGTGACTTCCCAGTTGACAAATGGGTGACTTTCCAGATGACTGACGGCGACTCACGACCACTTACGACTTTTACTGAAATATTGACTTACGGTACTTCACCTGACTCAAACGACTCACTAATGACTAAACTACGACACAAGACTCGATATATGATAACCAGTTCGACTTACTGACACACACACATATCAAACTGACATATTGTAAGTGTTATTTCACTTCATGACCAAAACAGACAGCGTGACTCTCATGCACTTGACCTTTCCTCATGACTGGAAAAAAAATACAAATGACAACTTTATTACCACTTCATTGACTGACTATAAAACACATCTCACACCGTATGACAGTTCTCTGACATAATAATAATGTCAACAACAACAGTATCAACAAAACGTGACAGATTTGACCCAGACTGAATCATAATCCACACCGGACTTGACCTAGAATGACCCACTCTCTCTCACCAGGTCAATGAAATGCTTGACCTGTTACGTGACCTTCTGACTGTGATTTTTGATGACTGAGCTACGTATTTGAGCTCAATTTACTGTTATTTATTTATTATTTATTTTCATGTTACTACTCTGATGTAAATATATATTTATTCATATTTCTGTCGTTTTGTCTTACCCAAGTGTTCCTATGTCCACAACCTATATACAAAAATGAAGTATTATATAGTAATACCTACGGAAGTAATGAGATACCATAAAAAAATGGAAAGCCAAAATAGCAACGTTTGAAACATACCTTTGATATAGTATATACCTAAAATGAAGTATAAAAGAAACCGGTTTATATATATATATATATATATATATATATATATATATATATATATATATATATATATATATATATATATACATATATATACATATATATATATATATATATATATATATATATTATATATATATATATATATATATATATATATATATATATATATATATATATGACATATTGATGAATATATGTAATACTAGGAATTCAGTGATATATCTTTATCTTTATTGCCTCAAAATAAAGCTAAGTCGGTAGCCTAGAAGTTTGATTGGATTCCAGCTTCTCTTGCCTCACCTGTCGAATAAATTTATAGTATTTTCTCCGCCAATCTATAAACACACCAGTTGTTTTAACACTAACTAGTGAAAGTATAATGATATTTCAATTAGGCTTTATATACTTTGTGTGTATATACATATGCATGTATATATATATATATATATATATATATATATATATATATATATATATATATATATATATATATATATACAAATGCATATACATATATTCATATATATATCATGTACACACTCGTATGTGTATGTACATATATAGATAAATAGATACTGTAGACAAATAGGCAAATAGGTAAATAATGTAGAGAAATATATATATATATATATATATATATATATATATATATATATATATATATATATATATATATATATATATATGTATATATATATGTATGTATGTATGTATATATATAATATATATATACATATATATACATACATATATATATATATATATATATATATATATATATATATATATATATATATATATAATATATTATATATATATATATATATATATATATATATATATATATATATATATATATATATATATATATATATATATATATATATATATATATACATACACACACACACATATATGTGCGTGTGTATATACCTGTCTGTCTAGCAATCTATCTATCCATCTAATCTATCTATCTAAATTTATCTATCCATAGGTAAAGCTGTATACGTAAGAAATTTTTACATGGCTAAGCACACCATACAACTGATGATGATTTCAAAACTGAATAAACTTGTTTGGTTTCTTTATTTCCATTATTACCAATATGTCCTTTGATTGTTGTTTATTATCTTCTTTTCTGCTCAAGTGTACAAAGAGGGAAGGATGTGATGGTGATGATAAAGAGTATTAGGATCAGTATTATTTCTATGAAGTAGGGGGCAGCAACCTATACACGCTTACATTCACGAACACTTACATGTATATATATATATATATATATATATATATATATATATATATATATATATATATATATATATATATATATATATGTATATATATGTATATATATATATATATATATATATATATATATATATATATATATATATATATATATATATATATATACATATATACATGTGGGTGTTCGTGAGCACACACACACACACACATTATATATATATATATATATATATATATATATATATATATATATATATATATATATAATGTCAAATAAAAAAGGAATAAATGATAATAACATGAATGAATTAGAAAAAATAAAGTGGGAATAATGAATAAAAATATAATGATAAGTAAATGACTTAATAAAATAACAAAAAAAGAAACTTCATAATCCCCTTAACATATGACTTATTTTGTAATACCATCAACATGTTCCATACTTTATAACATCCGTAATATATTCCTTATCTTATAAGCCCCTCAATATATGCCTTACTTTATAATACATTCAACTTATTCCTTATTTCATAATACCCTGAACATATTTCTTACTTTATCACACCCTCAACATATTCTATAAGACCCTCTACATATTCCATGTCTTGTGATACCATCAACGTATTCCTTCCTTTACAATCCCCTTAACATGTTCCATATCTCATGATACCCTCAATATATTCCTTAACATATGATACCTTCAAAATATTCGTTATTCTATAATACCCTCAACATATTCCTGAACTTATGATAACCTCAAAATACTCCTCATTTTATGATACTCTCGACATATTCCTTAACTTATGATACCCTAAAATACTCTTAACATATTCCTTTTTTCTGTTTTTGCTTTTGCTCTCACACTCCGAATTATCAGCGCAGATCCACCATATTCCGTTATATAATACCCTCAACATATTCCCTAACTTATGATACCCTTAAAATATACCTTATTCTATGATATCATCAACATATTCCTTAACTTATGACACCCTCAAAATATTCCTCATTCTATAATACCCTCAACATATACCCCTTTTTTTTTGTTTTTGCTTTTGTTCTCACACTCCGAATTATCAGCGCAAAATCCACCATATTCCCTATTCTATAATACCTTCAACATATTCCTTACTTTATTATACTTTCAAAATATTCTTCATTTTATAATACTCTCACCATATTGCTTACTTTAAAATACCCTCAACATATCCCCCTTTTTTTTTGTTTTTGCTTTTGTTCTCACACTCCGAATTATCAGCGCAAATCCACCATATCCCTATTCTATAATACCTTCAACATATTCCTTACTTTATTATACCTTCAAAATATTCTTCATTTTATAATACCCTCACCATATTCCTTACTTTAAAATACCCTCAACATATACCCCTTTTTTCTGTTTTTGCTTTTGTTCTCACACTCCGAATTATCAGCGCAAATCCGCCATATTCCCTATTATAAATACCTCAACCTCATGCAAAATATTCCTCATTCTATAATACCCTCAAATATTCCTCATTCTATAATACCCTCAAAATAATCTATAATACCCTCAACATATACCCCTTTTATTTTGGTTTTGATTTTGCTCTCACACTCCGAATTATCAGTGCAAATCCGCCTTATCCTTCCCTTCTTCCTGAGACTGAGAGAAAGCCGTGGATTTCCTCTCACCTAGATCGAAAATTCACCAAAGCGTTAAGGTTAACTCAACGAACAGGAACGGAGGTTTGCGGGGGCCCTATTTAAGACTGTTCGGAGGCGACAGGAGGCATCAGTTCTGTCACAGCATCGTCAGGATAACAAGGACTAATCTCAGTGTTAAATCGGTTAATCTGTACACGTCGATATGGCTGCTCAAGGTAAGAATTACGGGTCTATTGTGATTGGCTTTGATATGTAGGCCTATGGGGACGGGTTGGGCAGTTCAGATACGTTACTGTGGTTGATAAAGTAGCAATAAGTTCATTTATTCTTAATTTCGATTTAGAATGTAAGTGGTATAGACTTTATTTATTCATGTTTACCTTTTTTGGCATTTTGCGTCAGTTCGTTAAGTTAAGTTTTTTAAAAATGAGACGAGAAGGATCATGTATTGAAGGGATTTGGTATTGAAGATTGTCTATTCAATGATCTATCTACTTCCATTACTTTATCATTGGAATTATAACTTACACGATGAAAATAACGAATTCGTTAATAGAAGTAACAATAATGATGACAACGATAATTATCATTTATGATACTACAACTAATAAATATGATAAGACAACAAACACAAATTACAATAACGTCATTGATAAATATAATAACAAGCAAAGACAAAACAGATAATAACAACAATAACAATAAAAGAAAAACAACATGAAGAAAAACAACATCACAAATAACAACAACAGCAAACCTCATGCCACGTGCTAACCCGACACCCTCCTCCCTCCTTCCTCCTCCAGGAACCATCTTCGCTGTCCTCCTCCTGTGCCTCCTCCGTCACTCAGCCAAAGAGGAGGAAGCCCGATTCACGCTTCTTCTAGGCACGACCAACACTTCACTCTGTCCTTGTGTCGAGTTATTTTGACCATCGGAGCCATGGCGCTGGGGCTTCTAGCGCTGGTCGCCATTTTCTCTTTCATCGGAGGGGAGACTAAACAGGCCGTGAGCTATGCGGAGCCCACGTGAGTATTTTTTTTATTTGTCTTTCGGTTTGTTGGTTTTTGTGTTTGTTCTTTTGTTTTTTGTATATTTGGTTTGTTTTGTTTTTTCTTTGTTTAAGTTATATGTCTTCTGTTATTTTGAAGTGTTTGGTCTTGTTTGTTTCTTTTTGTTTATTGTTAATATTTATTTTTTTTTTTTTTTTTAGTTTGCATAACGAATTTGTTCAATTGACATAAACAACAAAAATAATAATAAAAAATATCTTTACAATAATGAATATCCTAATTTTATCTTCTCTCAGATCCTACGCCCCACCGCCAATCCTACCGCCCCCCCGCCCCAATCCCTACGCCGCCCCAGCCCCATCCTACAGCAACGAGGAGAGTAACCTAAGTTTCAGTCTCCGCTCTTCAACGAAGCTCGGACAGATACCTAACAATGGCAGCAAAAAGTAATACAAAGATGGCGGGCTGCGAAGAAAAATGGGGAAAGTTGGTGAATTTGAAAAAAAAAACCGACGAAGGAGAAGAAATGCTTAAAACACAAAATCGATTTGGGGATGCGCCATTTTAAGCCAAAGTGATTATCAAAGTGGAATAATTTTCGAAAAATTAAAAACCAAGTGTGAGAAGAAAAAGCAAATAGTTAAATAGATTTGGTTTAAGCGCAAATTAAACCAAAGATTATCCCGATCATCATAATGTATGAAATAAATATTTTTCAAATTTCTTCAAAATATTACAAAAAAAAAAAAAAACATAAAGGTGCTTTCGTAATGTAATGAAGCGTGCTGAAATATTTTGTTTTCTGTTGATTGTTGTTAAAAACATATTTATTATATTGTTCTGAAATGTGTGTGTTGTAAAAACGTTATTAATTTATAAAATAATTTGTTTTAGAAAACACTTTTTTAAATCACTATTTCGCTGCGATCATATCCCAGCTCATAAGATATAGAGAAATATATGATAAATAATCTCTGCAGTTCGAAAATTTATTGTAGTTTAACGAAGAATATCGCTGTAAAATAAATAAATTTACAGAAAGAGGTAAGTAGAATGAAATATTCGTGCAAATAACAAGAATGTGAATATATCTATTCAATCGAATATATCCATATCTTTTCCTCTTATTTTTCTCTTTTCTCTGTTTCTTTTTCCTTTCTCGTTCTCTCCCCTCTCTCTTTTTTCTTTATTTCTTCTCCTCTCTTCTTTCTCCCTCCCTCTCC